ATAAATAAATAAAGAAAGAAAGAAAGAAAGAAAGAAAGAAAGAAAGAAAGAAAGAAAGAAAGAAAGAAAGAAAGAAAGAAAGAAAGAAAGAAAGAAAGAAAGAAATCACCTCAGGGAGGGGAGCGATGATAACTTCCTCAATGGCTCAAGGGGGCGTTTCTTTCAAAAAGGTTAAGAACCACTGTTCTAGACCACTCCCTGGGCACTTTATAACATAATTATACGAACAACACTTTATCTCCCCAGCAAGCTAGGTACTCATTTTCCTGACCTTGGAAAGATGGAAGGCTGAGACAACCTCGAGACAACTACCTGAAGCCATTATGATTGAACTCAAGTCACGAACAGGGGCTTGACTGCAGTACTGCAGTTTTAACCACTGCCCCATGGGGCTCTGTTTGGGTTTTGTTAAGACAATATTAGTTAATTTCAAAGAACGACATTATTTGTGAGAAGTTTAGAGAGGAACAGAGAGTGCTGAGATCTCTCAATGAGAGCTGCCAATGAAAATCTATTTCGTGAGGGGTAGCTGAGCTTCTGGAGGAAAGAGCTAAATGACATAAAAGTCAACGGCTCTATACTTCAACATATATTTGTAGGCAGAATAAAAAGCAATGATGTTCAAGCATCCTAAAGGTTAAGTAGAAGAACGATTAGTGCCACTATGAGCCCTGGAGTTTGGAACTGGAAAAAAAAACAGAAGTCTTTACTGCTTAGACTGAGTACCAGCTAAAGTCTGAAGAATGCCCACGGACAACTCAAATCTGCTGCCACTTCCTTTTGCTGTCTTTGAGACCTGGGCACTGATCTGCAGCAGTGGGGGAAGCAGTAGATGCTTCAGCTTCCCAGTGGAGCACCCTCAGTGTAAGGCCTGATGGGAAGGAAAATGGACAATGGCTCAGCATCCCCCACAAAGACCAATGTGAACAGCCCCAAAGTCATTGTCAGCAAAAGAAACCACTGTAAATAACATAGTTTTCCCACTGAAAATGCTGTCCACTAATGGAAGTGGGTTCTCTTGCTTCTACCTTTGCCATTTACAGCAGCTGGTAACTCATTTGCTCATCTGGGGAAGAAGGTAGCAGGAGACGTTTGAGGTAAACACAAAACAGGTCTGTTCATGTGGGCTGCGAGAGCACAATCCTGGCTCAGTCTTTGCAAAGATTCAGAACATGATAACTTGCTAAGGCAATGCTTCTCAACTTTAGGTCTCCAGATGTTCTTGGACTAAAACTCCCAGAAGCCTTCACCACTAGATGTGCTAGCCAGGATTTCTGGGAGTTGCAGTCTCAAGGTTGGGAACCACTGTGCTAGAGTGGAATGTCTCAGCACCAGCCTCTTTACAAAATGTATTCCAAGTAGCAATTCAACATGATTTGCTACCTACAAACATCTAATGGCAGATGAAAAATCTCACACATACCCCATCTCTCCCCAGGTACACAAATAAATGCAAATCCTGACCGTGCAATACATTCATAGGATCCAGAATCTTGATAGAGTGCAGGAAAGAAGCAAAGCATGCCGTCGCGCTGACGAATTCTTGATGAATTTTGTTTACTTATTGCCATTTCACTTCCGTTAATGTACCAGTGGATGCTGTAGTTTGCATGCTGAAGATATGGTGTGCCGTAAAACCCACAATCAATCCCAAGAGGCTCTCCTTCTTCCACTTTCTTCTGGTACTCTTCCTGAATAGTACACTTATCTGCTGACAAGATGAGTTAGATTTTAAAAGACAAATGAGATTTTTTTGAATCTTGAATATCCTTATAACAGGAAGCAAAATCCAGCTTTGATGGGAGGCAACTGCAACAAGACAACTAATTGTATGGCTTATACTGCATATGTTTTTGATAATTTGCCCCATCTCACCCTTTTACCACTACCAACTCACATTCCACAGGGCCACAGAGCTTGCCAGTGCTCCTACTTTTCTCATACATTGATCTGACCACGCACCTCTTAGAACAGACCACCAACTGATACAGCAAGTTATCTACAACAATGAGGATGAGGACAACTGGATGCTAAACAGCACAGACACGCCCAAGGTTGGGGACCACTGATCTACAACAATGAGGATGAGGACAACCGGATGCTAAACGCCACAGACATGTCTCCCCTTTTTATCTTTTCTACAACTATATGCAGACTGGTACTCTTGGGCTGCCTTCTTTCTTTCTTGGAAGTCAATTTCTGTTTCTTCTTGCTGCCTTTCTATTGCAGTAGTTCAGTGGCTGAAGGCAGATTTGCATGCATAGAACTCTCCCTTCACTACCTAAATTGGATTAAGATATTTGCACTTGCATTTCAAATTAACAAAATCTAAATTTCTCGTTTTCCTTACTACTACTGTCCATACAGCGCAAAAGTAGTCACAAGCTCAGCACTTAGCATTTGCAGTGCACCAGTAAAGTGCCAAAGAATAGTACCATAATTGCATTTCAAATTAACAAAATCTAAATTTCTCGTTTCCCTTACTACTGCTCTCCATACTGCGCAAAAGTAGTCACAAGCTCAGCACTTGGCACTTGCAGTGCACCAGTAAAGTGCCAAAGATTAATAGTACCACACCCATCAAGTCACTGAAATCATGGAAGAACACAGATCCCTGAAGGGCTAAAGGAACTCAGGAAGCTGAATTCCAAATTAACAAAATCTAAATTTCTCGTTTCCCTTACTACTGCTCTCCATACTGCGCAAAAGTAGTCACAAGCTCAGCACTTGGCACTTGCAGTGCACCAGTAAAGTGCCAAAGATTAATAGTACCACACCCATCAAGTCACTGAAATCATGGAAGAACACAGATCCCTGAAGGGCTAAAGGAACTCAGGAAGCTGAATTCTACGCTTGTGTATTTACAAATAAGTCCCAGGTAACTGCACATAAGATGGTAGTCTAAGGCGATAGCTTACTGGGGAACATACTTAATGGGGAATTGTTAACTTTGGTGTCATCTAAGATCTGTAAAAACATAATGAAGCAGCATTCTTTTTCTTAAAGGGGAAACTTCCTTCTTTTCTCAATATTGTTTCAATTTTTTCTTGCTCTTCATCAAGTCCAGAAAGCTACTAAGAGAACAATCTGAGTCTGCTATGAGTGACAGTCTGTGTATGTGTGTGTGTGTGTGTGTGGGGTTTTCCAGAAATACCAGGCCTGAAAAGAAGATGGAGATTCGCAAGGGAAGATGGGATGGTGAGCCTGATATAAATATGCAAAGATTTCCAATATTTCAAGTTTCTATATCAGCAAGAAACCACAGATGCGGAAAGAACATTCTAAATGTGGACTTGTTTGTTCAGATAAAAAAAAGGAAGAAGGCTGCCTATAGCTAGTTGTCCTGACAAGAAAGGGGAAGCAGGCTAGCTGAAGCCAAGTCTGTGGCAGATGCAACAAACTATACACATGAACAACCCACAAGGAAAATCCCTATAAGAAGGATGACCCAGGAAGAGATGGTGGGCTTCAACAGCCCTGCAACAATTGCTCCCATCACTCTTACCAAAAGACTGATCATCTATTGGGGAAAGGTCTGATTGTGAGTATTGTGTGAATGGGAGTGAATGAAAGGGGCCTCTTGATACCTTACATATGATGTCTTACGTCTTTTCAATAAATGTTACATGACTAAACTAAAATATTTTGTGTATGGCCTTGTCAGTAGCCTGGCTAGGATCTCTCTCCTCTCATGGTCCCTCTCCCCAGGATATAAAGAACAGTAACCCATTTGGGTAACAATTATTGAACTTTTAAGGAAGACATGGCAATGTCTCTGGTTATTAAGCGTCAATGTTTTACACTGTTGTTTATTAATGTGTATCTTCCTCCACTCCAGCACAAACAACAAAGGGTAGGTGGGCAGACCTGCAAAATGTTATTAGTAGAATGACATCTTTACACCCCAAAGCATCTGTAATACTGACAGGAGGCTTTAATGCCAGAATTGGTCAAATGAGCATCTGTAATACTGACAGGAGGCTTTAACGCCAGAATTGGTCAAAATGATAAAGCCCTTTACAATCATTTTGGTGAACACGCTCCTGAAATGGAAATGGGACATCCCATCCCTGTTAGACAATCCAAAGTTAAGATTTGTAACTATTCTGGTCTATGTCTTTTACGGATGATAAATAGTTTGGATTTAGTGCTATTAAATGGAGGAGTGGAAGGGGATAGATCCAGGGAATATACCTTCCTGGGAGGGTGTGGTGCTTCAGTTATTGATTACTGTATCATTTCCTATGACCTGTTAAATCTGGTACTCAGTTTTGAAGGTGGTACACGCACAGAGAGTGACCATCTCCCCCTGATTACAACACTATCTAGTCAGAGCCAAAATGTTCAGGCAGACTACGAACCGCAACTCAGTATAGAGGCAGAAATTGGAGTATCTCGGGTGAGATGGTCAGCCAAGGCAGAGTCTGTTACAACTGCATTCCTGCATTTAGAAAGCTGTCTTAGAGTGCAGGAGTCCCTTTTGAAAACAGGTTCCCCTGAAAAGGTGCTTGAACTATATCAAGAAATAGTCACAGCACTACAAGGATGTTTGATTCATCCAATAATGATTACTTATTACAATATCTGGGGGGGGGATGTTAGTGAAAAATTTAAGAACTGGTTTTACCAGTTCCACTCCCCCAGTAATTTTCCATGCCCAAGGGGGGATTCAAACCCTGTTCTACAGAGTCCTAGTCTGTCAGTCTATCTATTACACCACACTGGAATCCCTCAATTAAGCATAATTTATTTTACATTATTTTATTCATATCAATTATTTTAATTAAGCATAATTGATTTATAAATGTTTACTTTAGATTGGACAAAGCTGCTCCATCAATACCTGTTTTCCCCACCTTGGGGCATCACAACCCTCTCTCCCCCCCAAAAAAAACAAAAACAAAAAAAAACCCCTAGTACTGATGCTGCATCCATACAGTGTCCAATTAAGTCTTTAGACAGCAATTCTTGGTTTTACAGCAGAGAATATGATTTAATCAACTTTTCCCCAAATATCTGTCTGGCATCTGAAAAACTATTGCAAGGATGGGCCCTTCAACTGTGACTCTTGAAACAGCAAACTAGAAAGCCTGTTCACAGACTTTACAAATAGCAAGCCAGGGCACATAATGAAAAAGTAATTATTTTGCCTCATGCTATTCTTTTGCTACAAATGCTGGACCAATAAAGAGGTGTAGGAAAAGAACATACGTATGAAGTACAGGAGAATTAGCTAGCCCCAAATTAAACGTCAGGGTATATCAGAGTGATCATCATCTAAACACCATAAATCATGATTTCTTCAACATCTGCCTGCTTGGATCCTAAACTCAAGAGGTTATAAAATATTATTACAGTTTTTTCATGCTGAGACTTGATGAGCAGGTGGTGTCCCAGAGAACTGCCGTTGAACACACTTGAGAAATCAAAACGCTCGGATCATTTCTTGTCCATGCAAATTATGTGCTGCTGTTCTAAACAGAAAATTTTACAATTCAAAAGAATGCATTTCATAGAGGTGTTTTTTTAAAAAAAATAAAGTTAAAGGTATGCTTGCACACAAAAACATAATTTCATGTTAAGCAAGTTTTAGAAATCTATTTTTAGGAAAATCTGCATTTATGACTGCAGTATTTGAGCAGGAAATAAAAAGGTGATGGCTTTTCACTGTCATTTAGTATTCCTATTTTAAAAAAAAGAAAGAAAACTGCACAAACACTGTTACCTAGTGGAGCACTCACCTGATTTGAGCATAGCAAAAAATGATATCATAACAGTACAAGTAACTGCTAATGTAGACTTCATGTTTTCCTACACAAAAGAAAGTAGAGAACAAGATTCAGTAATGTCAACCCACTTCACCTCATGTAGGACTCAAATTTATTCTATAAACAACTATAATATGAAATTATTTCCCTCCTTTTCTCTGAAAAAGAGCACAGCAAAATAAACTAAACAAAATTTGGTTGGTTTCCTTATATCTTAGTCAAGAGAAACTGTGCAGTCAGTTCAAAAATATTCAGTCTGCCCAGTCTCATCTATAATGAGACAGCATGATGCAAATATTCCCGTTCACAGAAAGAAACAGGAATGCCTTAGTATAATTGGCGGTCAGTAACATGTCATGACCTTAATAAGTATTTCACCATAACAGCATGATATGCTGAAAAAAAATTGCTTTTGGAATGTATGTCAAATGCTAGCCCAAGAGCTAGGCAACAAATAATAAGTGTGGCTGCTGTTAAAATCAAATTACTGTACAAACAAATGAAGATAAGAGATGGTAGGCAAAGAGAGAATCATAGGGTCAGAGAGTTGGAATGGACTCCTGGGATCGTCCAATTCCCAACCAGAAGAGGTGCTTTCATTCTCCTTTATCATCTCTTACTATTACTGTTATCACGAATCAACATTATTATTACTTTTTTAACTTTACTTTTATTGAACCTACATGAGTAATAAAATACAATAAAATGACGTATATAAAAACCTGCTAACTAATATCTATATACATTGGCAAGACGGGATAGTTAAGAGACAGAAAATGAGTTAATTGACTATTAGTTAGTCCTAGGACGTGGTGGCGCTGTGGGCTACACCGCAGAAGCCTGTGCCGCAGGATCAGAAGACCAAGCAGTCGTAAGATCGAATCCACGCGACGGAGTGAGCGCCGTCGCTTGTCCCAGCTCCTGCCAACCTAGTGGTTCGAAAGCATGCAAATGCAAGTAGATAAATAGGGACCACTTCGGTGGGAAGGTAACAGCGTTCCATGTCTAAGTCGCACTGGCCATGTGACCACGGAAGATTGTCTTCGGACAAAACGCTGGCTCTGTGGCTTGGAAGCGGGGATGAGCAGCGCCCCCTAGAGTCGAACACGACTGGACAGAAATTGTCAAGGGGAACCTTTACCTTTACCTTACCTAGTCCTAGTAACACATTTTATTATTTTGCTGTTATTTTTTTCTAGTAACATTTTACTACCTTGCTACTATTTGTTTACTGTATTTCTGCACTGACCTACTCTAATTAAAGCTTGTTATCCCTAATATGCTCGGAGTAATCATAGCTCAGTGAGCTGGAGCACCTGGCAGCGGATCCACAGGGGTTGGGAGCTCCATCCTCTCCTTTGGCTGCTGGAAGAAGAGCCAGCCTGTGTAACCTTGGGCAAACTGCACAGTTTCAAGCTGCCCCCAGAAGAAGGCAACAGTAAACCAATTCTGAGTACTTTCTACCTAGGAAACCCTGGGAAGGGTTGCCATGAATCAGAATCAACTTGAGAAAGCATGGTTATTATAATCCTGTCATTTATTCTGGTAATCCTACAATAAAACCATTGAAGAAACAGTTTGGTTAGCTCCAAAGCATCCAACATCCTACAATAAAACCATTGAAGAAACAGTTTGGTTAGCTCCCCCCCTCACACAACTGGAGAGAACCAAAGCATCCAACAGATCATCCTTTTCCCTACCTTTCTGAGCACTTCTACTTTTTAGGTGTGTGAAGGATCGATCACACTGTTTTGGTTGATTTCCAGCAGACCAAAAGCGAGCCCTCCAACGATCTAGGCTCCTTCTGTGTTGAATACCATTGAAGAAACAGTTTGGTTAGCTCCCCCCCTCACACAACTGGAGAGAACCAAAGCATCCAACAGATCATCCTTTTCCCTACCTTTCTGAGCACTTCTACTTTTTAGGTGTGTGAAGGATCGATCACACTGTTTTGGTTGATTTCCAGCAGACCAAAAGCGAGCCCTCCAACGATCTAGGCTCCTTCTGTGTTGAATTTCCAATACAGTGAAGTGTCTTAATAAATCATATTAAGGATATCAGCAGACTGAACACTTTCTCAGCAGAGAAAGAGAAGTTTTTTTTTTCCAGACTCTAGATTCATTGCTGATCTACTGTATCGCTTTTTAAACATTTTAAAACAATCTTCACTGTCTATTAAAGGTCCTGCCCGTTGCCGAATCCGCGGGTCCCCATTTCCTCAAGATTAGACAGAGGATGCAGCTGAACCCTCGTGAAGGATGATAATAGTTCATTCCAGAAGCCTGATATATTGTCTTTAACCCTGCCTTTTTAATTTCTCCAATAATCACAAATAATATGTTTTAAAAAAACAGACTCATAGAATCGTCGAAGGGTTGGAAGGGACCTTTGGAGGTCTTCTAGTCCAACCCCCTGCCCAAGGTAGGAGACCTCATATGCCACCCCGGAATAAGGTATGAGGGTCATTACCCTTATAGGATATTTAAATATGCAAATCGTTGCTAAAGATTTTTAAACAAAAAAAAAGATGGCTGGATTAAAGGGCAACGCCGGCAATTCCACGTGGCGGCCCATCTCTAAATGCAAGAATCGTCCACACCGCAACGCCTCCCACGCGGGGATCGGCCGGCTCTCGTGTTCGCGTAACGCTGAGAATACAAAAGGCACAAACCTGGCGGGAGGAGGACAGGGCGCTAGGTCGCTGCCAACCCTCGGTCGCTCCTCATGATGATGAAGCACCGAAGAAGGCTGTCATCCCAAGAGTTTTTTTCTTCCCCACTGAGCTGTAATCCTTCAGGGAAAAACAGAGCAGGAACTTTTACACGGGGGGGGGGGGGGAGAAGGGTCCCACGTGGCGAGACTGAAACACAGAAGAGAAGCTTGGCCGTTCAAAACAGGACTCCTACACGTGTCGGCCCCTAAAGATTGTCCCAACGTGCCTTGGCTTGCTTTTCAAGGCTCCGCAAACGAGCGCCCTGACCAGTTCCCGCCTGTTGAGGGCGGCGGGCGGGGAGTTGTTCGCCCTTCAGCCAAGC